CCCCCCCCCCCCCCGTTAGTCCAGCTGACACTGTGGCCCCAGGTTGGCAGTTGCCAGGGCTGCAGCTACATCTAGGCCATGGGAGGGGCAATTCAACAGGACAAGACCTAACAAAAACGGCTCTGTTCTGCACTTCACTTGGAGTTGGGGGCACTGCTACAAATCACCCCACAGCATAAACCCCACACAGGACTATGTGGCCTGAGGCAGTCCTGCTCATGCCTCATGTCCTGTGGGAACGCCACACGGGTAGGCAGGGAAGCCTGGGAGTGAGGCTGAGCCCCCAGAAGTAATGGAGGTGGAGGTTTCTCTCCTGCACACCCCTCCCCTCCACTTATATCAAACGCAGAGGACTCACCAGAGAGTACAGGGACTCTGGACGGGAGGCCTCCCTGGCTCGTCGTTGTCGTCGTCGTCGTCGTCGTCGTCATCGTCATTGTCGTGGTCGTCGTCATCATCAAAGGCTGGGAGACTGCCGGAACCTGAGGGGCTCTGGTGTTAGCATCACCACTGGTGAATTCTCCGCGACGCATGCTCAGGCAATGTGGCCTTGGCCTGTGTTTTGGAAACTAATGCAAAAATTTCTCGCTGAGTATGTGTAGTGGCTGGGGATAGGTGGGGAACACTAGGGGAATTCACAGGTTCATCTCTTTAGCACCTTCTCTCTTAGCCCTAGGCCAGGGGGCAGAGCTGAGCCAGGGAAGAAGTATGAGTGTATATAGAAAGCCAGGCCCTCTGGAAGGCAGGCTTTGGGAAGAGCTGGAAGGGAGGAATCTGAAGGCCAGTGAGGCTCGACAGGACACCAAAGCTGGGAGGCCCAACCTGTGAATCAGTCACCCGATCCCAATCAGCAGCCAGCTCTGCTTCCCGTCCCAGCCCCCATCCCAGCTTCTGTCAGAAGGGAGGAGGCAGGAATACACAGAGTATTGAAAAAGTGCCAGGCACCCACCAGGTGCTCTCTTCATGTCGGACCCTACTACAAGGATCCCTGATTCAGCACCCCAAAGACAACCCCTGAGCAAGAGGCAGAGGGAACCAGGACAAACCTGTAGAGGCTGAGGGTTGGGCAAGGAGGGTGGCCTACTCACTTGGGCCTGTGGGGCTGGATCAGTATTTGCATCTCCATCTTCTCCAACCACAGGCTGGGACTCCCTTGCTCTCCTGGCCAAGGATTTCCTCCCAGGGCCCCCCTGCTTGGATCCAGAGGTCAACGAGGTAGACCCCCTGGGCGTCCCAAGCAGCTGAATGCCTGAGATTGGTGGCAAGGTGGCTGGTTCCGGGGGAATGAATCTGAATCTCTGCCCCTGTGCAGTGAAGGCTCTCCCAAGGATAATTTTCGAGCCACCACGTGCGGATTTCTTCTCTTGGTCCTTTTTCCAAGTTGGGGCCCTGGGCGGTGCCCCTGTAATAGCACCTGCTCCTGGATAGTTGGGCCCGCCCTCTGCCTTGGCCCAGACCACATTTTGCATTTTCTTAGAGGAAGAGACTTCCATCTGTCCTGAGGCTTGCCTTCCCATGGCTGAGGGGAGTTTCCTGGGAGCAGAGATCATCAGAGAGCCCTGCAAGGGAGGGACACTAGCCTGGGCATGGATATTCAAGTCTCTGGTCACACCTTCTGGCTCCTTGGAGTCGGTGGATCCGGCCTGGCCTCCTCCCTTGCGGGAAATGCACACTCTTATGGGCTGCATCCCATGGAATTCATCTGAAGGCTTGGACTCCGGGTCGGAGTCAGAAGAGGGCAGCTGGGCATCCCTGCTGACCACCACCCTGCTTTCGGTGGTCCTCTTCAGGTTCCCCCAGACCTGGCCTCTCTTGGGCCCACTGGGGTGGAGAGGAACAGCAGAGTGTCGCTGCCTCTGCACACGGCTCAAGGGCATTGCACCTCTCCTGCTGGGACCTGCTTTGGCATCCACCCTCCTACTGGGGAGCTCGGCAGCACCGGTTTCTACGTACAGGGCCGGGAACCTGGACGAATATCTGCGGGTGCCCTGGGCCTCCATGTTGGACATCTGCCGCACCACGGACGCACGCTCAATGTTGACGTAGGGTATGCTGTCCAGCGGAGCGTCCTCTTCCTCATCTGCCGGGGAACCAGGCCGACCTTCGCAGCCCCGAAGCACTGCCCTTCTCGAAACTGTCAGTTCCTCCTCAAACTCCGAGGTGAGCTCAGGGAGGATGTCGGCTGGGAGGTCAATGCTGTGCTCCCCCTCGTGGCCTGAGACCACGCCCTCGCCTTCGTTGCCCCGGGGAGACCAAGAGTCCCGCCACAGGACCCGTGCCTGCCGCTGCCGCCGCCGCCGGGGTGTGGGGTTGGCTGGGCGGAACTCGGTGTGCTCTCCGGCCTCCGGGCCGAAATCGGTTCCCCGGGAGGACACATCTCTAGGAGAGCTCATGCTGCCACACTGGGAGACCGGCTTGAAGGATAACGGCTGCCGCGTTACAGAGAGTACGGGTGGGCCTCTAGGACCGTCGTTATCATGCGTGACATAATGGCGCCACAAACGGCCTCGCGAGACTCAGACTCTAACGAGCGGCATTCTCATTGGTTCTCCCTCAGCAACCCTCAGGCTCCTGGCCGGGTGACCCCTCCAGGCCGTATCCAATAGTGGCGACGCCGCAGTAGTACGTGATTCCGCTGGGTGGCCACGAGCTGGTAATCTGGCGTCAGGGCGCCGGTCTCTCACTTTCTTGTTTCCTTGGGCCAGGCCCCTGCTTTTTGATGACAACCTCGCCTCTGAGCCTCAGTTCCCCGTCAGTAATACAGGAGAAATAAGACCACGTAGCTCAGGACCTTGTGAGTATTCTGTGTAATGGTGGATATGAACTACTCAGCAAAGAAAAGATTGGTGTGCCCGTTTCCTGCAGCAAGACCTCCGGCCTGACAGGAAGTCCATAGTCAGTGATCAGTGGTCCCTGTGCTTTTTCTTTCTTTCTTCCTTTCTTTCTTTGTTTTTTTTTTCTTTTTTGGTTTTTTGAGACAGGGTCTTACTATATAGTTTAGATTGACCTGGAACTCACTGTATAGCCCAGGCTGGTCTTGAACTCACAGCGATCTTCCTGCCTCAGCCTCCCGAGTGCTGGGATTACAGGCGTGCGCCACCATACCCGGCTACCGTGTACTTTTTCTATCAAGGGCCACATAGCAGGTGTTTCGCAATCTGCTGGCTGTGTGTTTGCATGGCTGTGTGCCTGTAGTGTTTATTGGCAGGCCAGAGTTTGCCCACCTCTCCCAGACCCCATCCCACATTCGCCGGGAATCACTTCAGAGAAGCGGGCATCCCCATAATCTTGTACACCCCAAAGGGGCCCACTGCCACTGATCCTGTAAATGCCAACTAAAATAATCAATATTCACATAGCAGATGTGCAACAATAAAAGGGCTTAGCTATTCCAGGCACGGGAGAGCTCTTGAAGCTACTGGTGCTTTTGATCTCTGCTGGGGGTGTATATGTGGAGGGCTGCCGTTTGGGGTAGAGGTGATTTGGCAGAATCCCATGGAAAGCAAATCAGGCAACCTTCACTATGTCCCTGGCAGTCTTCTAAGCACTGGAGATTCCTACTAACTCAGCCTCTCCACAGCTCTAGGTTGGATTAAGTACTATCAACATCATTTCTAGCAGCAATGAAACAACCTCAGGTGGAACCATTGCCATGTACATCTTATGGAAAAACAGTGGTAATTGTATTGTACAAGGACACATGCATAGGGATGTTGGTGAAGGAAGGGCACAATCCCTTCAGTAAAGCAATGCAAAGAGCCCTGTGCATCCTGTAGATTAAAAGGAGACCGTCAGAGGGACCCAGGAAGCTTTGTAGAAGAGTGCACGGATTTGGGTGCACATTTGTAAATTTAAAAACTCAAACCAGTCCTACAGATTGAGCTTATGTATGGGTGTATATGAAAGTACGTTGTAAAAGGCCGGAATGGACATGCAAGCAAGGCCTCACAGTGGTGGTGGGGTGCCCATTTTCTGTCATATTTTCCTTGAGACTATCAGTTTCCAGCTCCCCTGTAGTAAGCAATCCTAATACCTGGGGAGTGTCCCTTCCTTAGTTTGTATTAGGCCTTGGAGTACTAGAATTTCCCTCGCTTATCACTCAGTCCTACTTTAGCAATGCTCCCTTCATTTCACACCTGCCTTCCTCACTTCCTCATTCATACTTACCTGTCTTTCCTTGCCTCTCAGTTCTGAATCCTCCCTTGGCTGATGATGTCCAGCAGAGGCCTGAAGTGCGTGAATGGCTCTTGCCAGGGGGATATCAAAACTCCAGTTTCTCTACGTCTGCACCTGAGACGCCTGACCTGCTGGGGAAGGTTACAGAGAAGGGTAGGTTGGGTGCACCACACATCTGCAATCCTCCACATCTAGCAGGCCCTCCGCAATTACTGCCTGTATCTAGAAACCATTTTCTCCCACTCCTCAAAGTGGTTTGCTGACATACTGTACTATTTCAGACAGGCCAACAGGGATCCTGTTGGTATAGTGAAATCTCCTATCTGTACCACCTGTGTTAAGATGTATTACGAGTCTATCCAGTTGAAGCAGGCTATTATGTTCCTCTCCTCATTTCCACTGTCTTCCTCCTTCCCTCTCTCATACGGAGATCCCTAGAACTTTCACAAGCTTCAACCTCTTTATGCCTGCAACTCTCCTATCACCTTTTCCCCTGAATCCTGTAGGTCTAAAATGGAGGCACAAATCTCTGCCTACCCCAGAAATGTCCTGTATCTGATGTTGGTTTTGACCTAATTTCTTGAGCTAGGCTGGGATCCAGTTTCAGGAGTTCCACATAGTCTTCACCATCACAGTAGCTCCTACTGTACAGACCAGTGACCCAAGGTGGGAGTTAATCACTCTGATTGCCAAGCGTGTCGCTGGCAGTGATCCACTTGGGGATGGGAGGAGGGACCAAGGTAGTTCCACTTGGCTCCATGTGGGCCATTGCTTCCTCAAAGCCTATGAGAGTCACTCTAGCCAGCAAATTTCCTCCATCTCCTGGAGTGCTTGCCCGGTGTTCGTTGCCGTGATGTGAGGATGTACCCCCCCATCAGTAAAACTCACTTGTGCTGTCTTTTATTCTAGCCCCCTTGATCGAGCATCCAATCCCCTTAACATCACGGCTATTCCGTGACTCTTACCGGTACAGGATGGGTCTTCCTTGCAACGCCCTTGGTGTATGCTCCCTTTATTTGTTCAGGAGTCTCTGCATTATCCAGTGAGATCTTGAAAAGGAGAAGGGGTGGCTCCAAGGGAGACACCTGAGGCTTTAGGGAAGTGGACACTAGCATCTGTTAGCCCAGGGCTCCTGCTGGCTCCTGCTAGATAAGCAAGTGTGCCCTGTGAGCTCCAAGGCTTCAGGGTATGTGGAGTCTGGGAAACCATTGTCCTCAGGACATTCATCCATCCCCATTTCTTCCCATCCCCATTTTGGCTTTAGAGGTTGTTCTTGTACCCTGCAGTGGGTTGAATCATCTCACCTATAAGACTGAAACCCTCCCCTGGGGTGCTTCCTAGGCAAATAAGGGTGAAAACTGGAACAATTGGGGGGTCACCTCATGCTGGAGATTATCCATACCCCATGTAGAGCTCAAGATGGCATCCTCTTTGTCATTCTGTTTAGTCATTGAGCCAGTCCCGAGAGGCAGGTTACTTCCTTTTCTCAGACCACTCTCGGACCACTCATGGTATTTTGGGTCCTCCAAAAGTTTAGAGGCCAACAGGTGATTGGACATGAAAGATGGTGGTGTGGCAAGAAAGAGGAAGGTACAGAGGAGGGGGAGGCAGGGAGAGTCATAAGAGTGCTGCACAGATCTCGTTCCTGTCAGAGACCCTGAAAGTAAAGGGAGGGTAGGATAGGGATGGCAGATGAAGTTTAGCTGTAACAGTATTTCAGTCAGTGGAGTTGTTGTGAATGCCACAGCTGAAGGATGCCAGAAAGAAGAAGCCCTGTCCCCAGGAAAGGCATCCCCAGCACTGACTAACTAGGAGCAGCACCAACTGGGAAGCCTGAGCTTGGGGCAAACTCAGAGGTGGGCCCACAGAAGTGGCAGCTGGGATCTGTGGGATATGTTTCCGCGGCCACTTTGGGGAGGCAGTAGTCAAGCAACCAGTATTCCTGTTTTGCCTGAATGACTGGAGCAGGTTCAGGCAGGAGACGGAGGGTAGAGTTTGAGGTACTCAACCATGGTGGTGGAAAGGATGTAAAGATTACTCAGAAAAGAGACTTAATTCAATCTCTGAGAGACCCAGAGAGGCTGCCTCTCTGTATGAGAATGCTTCCAGGAAACAGCAGCAAGCTGAAACCTCTATGGTTATTTATTTGTAACTCAAGGACATGAGAACAAAGACGTAGAAGAAAAGCATTTGCAACATTTATTATAGGAGTTTTGGTCAGAGGACAAGGAAAGAAATGGGATGGTTTGTTATGTGACACATGTTGACCTAGTTTAAACAAGCCTATTGGATGGTAGGAGGAACGCAATGGCCAAAGCAAACATCTCTGAAAATAATGAATAATTTGCTTTTAATTCTGCTGAGTGTTGTCCTGCAAATCTGCTCTAAACTTTAAGCATGCATTCTGGAAGCCTGGGGACTGTTCTAAGATCTCTTCCTTTTTTTGTTTTGTTTTGTTCTATTTTTTTGAGACAGGATCTCTCTATGTAGTTCAGGCTGGCCTTGAACTCACTATGCAGCCCAGACTGGCCTCAGATTTGCAATGATCCTTCTTCCTCAGCCTCCTGTGTGCTGGGATTACAGGCAGGCACCCCATGCCCAGCCCAACGTCTCTTCCTCACTGAATTCACTTAGATCACTGCTTCGGCCAGAATCTCCCCACGTTTGACAATATGCAGAATTCACTTGGAAATTTGCTTCTGTGGCTCCAGAGAGGAGTCTGAGCTGGAGTTACAGGTCTAGGAGACATAGGTTTCCTTAGCCAGCTTTCAAGAACATGTTTTTATTTCCTGTAGTGGTGTCACCTCTGACAGGCTTCCTGTGGTCTTCCTTCTGATCCCCTCTCTTCACCTCCTAGCATGTGAACCTAGGCTGAACTTGTCTTCCTCTATCCCTTCTTTCCTTCTAGTTAATTCCTGCATTAATTCAGATACCTCGTGATAGGTCCCAGGAACATATTCCTGCCAGTATGCTTCTTTTTGACCACACAGTGTTATGTAAGCGAAGTTCATGGCTTTTGTTGACCATGGTAAGGAAGTGTTTGTTGTCACCGATGCATTAGATTCCACTGAAGAAAGACTCAGTTTATTCTCATTATCACAATCCTTATGTTTTATGAGGTCAGTGCAAAGGGGTGCGTTGTCCAGTTTCAAAACATTTCTCCTTGGTGAAATATAGGGTAATGTTCCTTTGAGCCTCTGGTGACATTTTCATCAATACGTCTAATATAGATGGTACAATTTGGACTATGGAACCTGCATTCACCTGAATCTGGGCAGTGCCCCAGGGCCAACTCTCTGACCTTTGTCCTAAGGCCTACTACATGGAGGCAGAGAGAGAGAGAGAAAAAAA